GAAAGGGAGTCCACACTTTCCAGTTCATTTTCAAGGCAGTCCAGTAACTTCCTCTCATCTTGCTTTCAAAGTCTCTCCATCCTTTTGCCTGGGAAAAAGATGGGACGGTAATTTGGTTTCATTTATTTTTCATTTGTCTATATGAAAACGATAAAGCATGCGTTTACTATACAATAAACATGAAGACACTGGAAAAAATACTGTGGTCAAAATGAAGGTTTAAGCATAGCAGGAGTTTTTAAATCCTATTTAAAAAAGGATCAGTTTGCCATTTGAACACATCAGATTAGTAATGGGAAAATAACTGCTTGCATAGCAATTATCTTTTTTGCAGCAGAGGTCTGCTATATAGAAATAACAGACCGAAGAATGCAGTTGCAATCAGAAGCAAGTATTCACAAATCCGTTCAAATATAAATATGATTTTATCCGAGATAATGATCAGTTTGGCCATTTTTTATCAAATTTAGCAGGAGAAGAACAGTTGGGTTCAACATCAGTTTTGCAGGTTTTCAATAAAAGACGGGTTTGATCCGGATCTAGGAAGGTCATTTCAGGGGCTTTTTAAATCTCTGATTTTTAAAACTGTAAAGACCTTTAATAGGAAGTTCCATTTAATCTGTAAAATGCAAACAAATTTGAACAAAAAAACTGTTGTGACTAACTGGTTTATTGAAAGTTTGCTTTGCATGACAGGAGGGGTGTCCTTTTTCTCCTTCAACCAGACTCAGGGCTAAACCAATTGCTCCCTCTGCTGCTGCAATTGTGTATTTCCCACAACTTAATGCCGGAGCATCTCAAATCACTACAGAGCTCCTTTAATCTGATGTTAAGGGGGACAGTTTCTGAGAGGACCTACCTCCAGGATGTTCATAACAAAGTAGAAAATCAGCAGAAAGCCAGGGGCAAAAATAAGCCGATCCAGTAGCAGACGTTTGACTATGCAGAGCGGGTCTGTTGCGGGCATCCACACCTCCATCAGCTGGTAGAAGATATGGCTCACTGGACCTGTGATAAAAAACCTGAAATACACAGGAACATAGAGGACAGGTAATTTTCCCACAATTGGTGATGCATTTTAGCTCACAATCACAAACCCTTACATGTATTTTCCTGTTATTTAGCACATCAACCCTCAATTTTGTTTCCATATAAGGTCTCACCCAAAGGTTGCATATCGAGCAGCTGCAGCCGGGTCGATCTCACCGACCGGGGCTCCACTCTTGATCTTTTTTCTTGCCTCCAAAATCTGAGACAGAACATTTCCTAAAGCTGAGAGGATGCCACTAAAAATATCAAAAACACACAAGAGAACTCTTTTAATATGCAGCAGATACAGTTATCATAGTATTATTATCCAATTAAACCAGTGTCAAAAACTAGGGGAGGTTTTCAGGGCAGACGCTGATTGGCTACAGAGTGATGACACCAGAGAGCAGTCAGTGGTCAGTGCAAACAAAGGAGATACACTTTGAAGTCAATAACCACATTGAAAACTGCTAACAAATTCCCAGAGGTGGGAAGTAACAAAGTACATTTACTCAAGTACTGCACTTAAGTACAATGTATGCTACTTTATACTTTAATTCCACTACAATTCAAAAGGTAAATAGTGTACTTTTGCTCCACTACATTTATTTTGTACTTTTGTGGGACTAATAAAGGATTTCTGATTCTGATAGTTACTTTACAGATTTGGAATAATAATGTGAAATATAAATCAACACTTAAATAAGATTTTAGTTACACCTGGAGTATATTCACACACTACCCTTACAAAGTAATATAAAGTCAATACAACTAGCTGCACCTTCATCAGCTTTGATAACACTTTAAAGCATCAATAAAATATAATAATTTACATTAAAGGTATTTATTTTAATGTCTTGCTACTTTGTACTTCTACCCTAATAAAGTTCAAAGTTAAATAGGGTACTTTTACTCCACTGCATTTATGTATTACATTTAGTTACTTTGCAGATTTGCATTAATGGTGTGAAATATAATCAACACTTAAATAAGACTTTAGTCACACCTGGGTTATATTCACCAGTTACCCTACACAGTATTCAAATATATTAAATACATAGGCTGCACCTTTACCAGTTTAGAAACCACTTTAATGTATCAATAAGATATAATCAAAACATATAATATATATTATTCTGAAATGAACCAACCCGCATAATGAGTACTTTTCTACTTTAAGTATATTTTCATGCTAATGCTTTTGTACTTTAACTCGAGTAACATTTTAAATGGAGTACCATTACTAGTAAATTAGATAATTCCTACACTCAGATACTCCTACTTGTATTTAATCTGAGTACTTCTCCGTACCTCTGCAGATTGCGACATATTACAATGTAGCAAACAGTAATCTATACAAAATCACGTTTATTTGTTCTGAATGTCAAACTGTGCAAACAACTTGAAACAAGCACGAGGCTGCAGAACAGTGACAGTCAGGGAATAAGCAGAGCTACAGACCTCGTCACAGATTTAGTAAGGATGGGGTAATTCTTCAGAAGAACCAGATACTGCTGCAGTAAACGGAAATGTATGGACGCATCCCGGACTGGCAGGCTCTGCACAGGCATTGTCAGTAGTTTAACGGACAAACATTACCAGACTGACAGGGGCGAAGTTTAAAAGGAGCTTTCCAATATCTTCCTGTTTACGTCATTACGTCACTGGCAGAGCCGCGCCTTTACGTCGACAAGAAGGCGAATTACTTCCTGTTTTTTTACCCCCAAAGGATTCTGCACATGAGGGTGGTAAAGGTCAATTTATTAAAAGGACAGTGTTTATTTTTCTAGTTTTAAAGAAGGCAACTTCACTGCATTATGTTTTATATAAATTGATTTCAGAAGTGGGAGAAGTTATGGAAGTACTGAGATCTTGTACTTAAGAAAAAGTAGAAGTATCCGGGTGTTTAGGATACTCTGTTACAAGTCCTGCATTAAAACTGTTACTCAAGTAAAAGTACAAAAGTATTAGCATCAAAATATACTAAAAGTATCAAAAGTAAAAGTGCAGATTCGCCCATTTAAGAATAACATATGTTTGTATTATAATTATTGATGCATTAAAGTGTTATCAAACTGGTAAAGGTGGAATAGTTTTAATGACTTTGTACACTGAAGGGTAGCTTATGAATTTTACTCCATGTGTAATGCAAGTCTTATTTAAATGTTGATTATATTTTACATTTAAAAAATATATGTATGCTAAGTAACTGCAGTAAAGGTATTAAATAAATGTAGTGGAGTACAAGTGCACCTTTTACCTTTACCTGTATTGGGGTATAAGTAAAAAAAGAAAAAAGAAAAAGAAATTCTCAAGTACAAGTCTCTCCAAAGTTGTACTTGAGTACAGTATTTGAGTAAATGTACTTAGTTACTTTACACCACTGGTTAATTTGACTTAACTTGACTGAATGTTAATTAAACTCAAGCAACTTGTGTTAGTTTAAGCAAAGTGACAGCTGGTGGAATGACTGACCATCATCATGGCAGACATGTTTACTTGCAGGAAAAGCAGTGGCCTTATTATTTAGCCTTTTGCATGATCCACACGTTATTTTACTAAAACAAAAGAAACCACTAATGTGAAGTGATTCTGAAATGCAATGGGACGTGAACTGCTCCACTTGGTATGTGTATCTGAGGTAGCTGGCTGAGTGATCACATTGAGAAACATTAAGAAACAATATCCACTATTTAGAACCTCTTTAATAAAACCAACATTTCAATAAAACAAAAGTAAACAGAAAACACAGACATATTTACAATGTTGGAAAAGCATATTGAGAAAGATATATTTAAGAATATTCAGTGTATAGCTAAACAATTAATATGTTCAACTACTGACATGAACTCTTGACTCTCATAAAGAAATATCTGCACATTCTATTGATAAAACAGGAAGCTTATGGGTGGGTTTTGATCTGTAGTTAAGTAACATTCATGTTGAGAACCATGAAAAACAGTTCAAAGAGACTTCCAGTCTATGGGAGACTTTCCCGATTGCACCAGGTACTCGTTGGCCTTGGAGAAATGTTTGCACCCGAAGAATCCTTTACAAGCGGACAGGGGGGAAGGATGCACCTCCTGCAGGACGAGGTGGCGTTTCTGCAGACACAGAAAACATGAACTTAGATGCATGAACATTAGAAATACGCTTTCTTTTAAAACCACAGTGCTGCAGACTAACCCCGTCAATGGCAGCTCCTTTCTTCTGAGCATACGCTCCCCAAAGCATGAACACCAGGCCTTCCTGGTTGTTGCAGAGCCACTGCACGACGGCGTCAGTGAACGTCTCCCAGCCTCTGCCTTTGTGGGAGTTGGCGTTGCTCGCTCGGACGGTCAACACAGCGTTGAGCAACAACACACCTGATTGAGCCAGGACACAGATGGAGAAGACGGCAGTCAGATAATTGCCATCATCTTTGCGTAAACATTCAACAAACTGCTTTTTAAAAAATAACCTTGTTCGGACCATCCAGTTAGATCTCCGTGTTGAGGGCACTGAAAGCCTTCAATGTCCGTCACCAGTTCTTTGTACATGTTCTTCAAACTACAAATAAAAAGCATCAAAATGTGTGTTAAATATGTCAAAGCATTGCACATAACTGCATTGTGTGATTTTAAGTAAGAAGAAGATCACAGGCAGAGATAATGAACATGTTTTAACCTGGGTGGAGGACGCACTGGCTTTTTTACACTGAAGCACAATCCATGGGCTTGGTTAGGACCATGGTATGGATCCTGGCCTAGAATCACCACTTTGACCTAGAAATAGAGACAGATCTTCAGCAACACAAAATAAGTTGCCACTAACTCGGATTTTCCATTTTTCGTTGCACTTTAATTATCCATGTGTTGTCCTCAGTGCCTGCTGCATTGTGTAGGTGGCTTTTTATGGATTTAGAGCATGGGAGGTGCTAAGATATGCTTGTCAATTTATGTCCCAAAAGCTATGAATGCAATGTAATACTGCATGAGCGTAGTGAGAGGGAGGATGTCTCACAATAAATAAATAAAACAGTTTAAGTTTATTGTTTGGGGGTATGTTTGTTAAGATAAGATATACTTTTATTGATCCCAGTTTGGATAATTATTTTGTCACAGCAGCATGTAGACGCATTGCACATGAATGAAAAGTTAAGGAAAATAGATATAAACAGCCAATGTATGCATGAACAGTACAAAAAAAATATAAAATAAACCAAACAGAACATGTGTACATATTATCAACAGTAAAAGATGTTAATCTAGAGTGTCTCTTTTGAATATACAATATCAATGTGCAGATTTACAGATAGAACTGAAGATGGCATACATGTTTGTTGAAGTTAAAGGACACTAC